AAATCAAGGAATAATAAATTTAATTAAAGCAAACGGATTGATTATATTTCAATAAAATGCCATCTCATTAAAAATTTTTAAGTATAATTTTAGTTTCCATGTTAGCATTAAAAATTAAAGAAAAAAATTATTACCAAAAAAAAAAAAATTACCACACTAGTGCTTAGTTGACAAAATGAACTAAAATAGTTGAAAGGAAAAATTTTAGAGATTACAAAATGTGTTTATGAAGTATAGAGATTAAATTTAGGTATTAACTTTCTTTGTTTAGGCTGAATAATTTCTCTTCACGGACTACTAATGACACGTTGCATCGAACCTATAAATTAAATGCCATCCAAGTCATTAAACAAACGACGTTAAGGGGCTCGTTAACGAAGGGGCTTATTTGCTTCAGACGGGGGGGTTGGAGGGCTTATCACTTGCTGTCGAAAAAGTTGAGGGGCTTAATAAGGGTTTTTGCCAAAACAAAAATGAGAAGTCTTGTACGTGTAGTAAATAAGATGTCTTGTTCGTGTACTATGTTCCTACTCGTTTGCTAAAAATCATTTCTCATTCCAATTATATAAATTTCAAACTAAAAAAGATATAAAATTTGCTTATCAAGACTTCTCATATTTTGTTTTAGTTAGTTTCTTTCTATAGTTTGGTATTTGGGTTGGAGTATTTTTTATATTTTGTATGATAAAATTTTATTTATTTTGTTGATAAAAAAAATATAAAATTTGAATTTTTAATTTAAAACCATTTGACAAAAACGCTAAGCGAAACAGCCTCTATAACTTATTCTTCAGTGACGGTGGCGTTGGCGGCTGCAGCTTCTTCGCCAAAACCACCTAGGGTGGCAAGTGTGTTGTATTTTTCGCTCCTTCTACTTGGTAAGCAATATTGTCCACTCAATTAGCTATTTTTGCCTTTTATTTTCTTCAGTGTTTGTGTTACATCTTAAATCTTATGTGCAAAAATAACGCAAATTGTGTTTTTTTTTTTTTACTTTTTTTTTGGCTAACTATGTTCCTCTTTGTTAGCAAAGAAAATATATGATAAAATAAATAGATGCATATGTTCTTATTTTTTTTTTAATTAATTCATTATTGAGTCCTGTACCATGACTTAAAAGGTAATATTTTCTGTTAGAGAAAATAAAAAGACAATTAATTAGTGTTGAAAATATAAACTCATTCTTATAGTTGTAGATTCTAAATATAACTCATTCATTGCAGTGGCAATCCTCAAACGGTATCAAGGTTCGACGTTAATAGGACTGTTCTTACTTCCACTCGGTAAGCAATAACATCAACTTAATTGAATATGATTGAGAAATAATTTTCTTATACAACTTTTTAATATGGTTTTTATAATCAATATCCTTAGAGTACATATTAAAAATATACAATAAATGTAATTCTTTTTTATCATAAATTAGTATAAAGAATAAAAATATTAATATTAATATTACTTTTAGTATCAATGTCATGAAAATGAATCAAATTGCCAATTGATAAATTAAAGGTTAATTTTTATTTTTTCAACATAAATTTATAACAAAAAGGTTCATTTATTACATTTTTAAAGGTGTAGTTTAGAAAAATTCTTTTAATAAAATAATTTTATATGTTATTTAACGGTAATTGACTATTTTTACGCTACAAAAACTTATGGTATTGTATGCAAATTTGTTTGCAAAAAAAGGCTTGGAGAGTGATGACTTCAGGTTAACATTTTTTTCCGGCTAGAAATAAAAAAATAAAAAATAAAAAATAAATCTATTATATTGTTTTTCTTATCAATGTATTTGTATCTATATCTATATTTATATCTAATATGGAAATAGATATGGATAAAATGGTAAAAATTACTCCCTCAATTCAATTTCAATGGGTTCAGTTTTTTTTTTTTTGTCTAAAAAATAGGGATATTATAAATTTATTGATAAAATTTTATAGTTATTCCTAATTAATCACACATAAATATGATTTCTTATTTAATATATATTATAATT